ACTATTGGACTAACAGGAGGTGGAGGAGGATTATGATGTTGTTGTCGTTGTTGTCGTTGTTGTTGTTGACCAGCAGTTCGAGAGCCACCAGTTTGTTGACCATATGTGGTCTGGTATCCGCTGGTACCGGCTCGGCTACCTTGAGATTGTCTGGATTGGCCTCGCGTTTGGTTAGCACTACCACTACCACCACTACTGTTGCCTTGTTGTAAACCGCTGCGTCCAGTGAATTGGTTTTTATTGGGACCATTGCCACCTCGAGATTGTCTGTATTGGCCACTTTGGTTACCACTACCACCTGGTTGACCACTTGGTTTACCGCTAGGTCTGGTCTGAGTACTTGGTTTACCGCTAGTACTGGTCTGAGTACCGCAACTTCCTGCGAATTGGTTTGTATTGGAACCACTGCCACCTTGAGGTTGTATAGATTGGACACTTTGGTTACCACTACCACTGGATTCCCATGGATTTGGACCAAATGAAAGTACGCCGTTTGGATTGTTGTTCACCAAATCATACAATTGATTGTCCGTTATCTCATCGAAACCATTGTCCGGTTTTTCAAAATTTTCTTCAATAAAAGTAAAGTTGTCCACAATTTTATCACCGGTTCGTCTGTCAAACAACTCATAGTAATAGCTTTGAATGTAACCAATAGGTGTCGGTCCAGCTTCTGGTTGACTATTACTTAGATTTTCTACCAATTCATAGAAGTGTCCGTCAATTCCCAGCCGAATGTTTTCGTCATTTTCTATGAGATGTTTGCGGGTAAACGGATTGTTCAAACACTTCCACTCGTATTCTTTGAATGGATATTTTGTTTGGCTTAGCTTTAGTATAATAGGACAGTTGGCATTGAAGACGTTAGTCGGATATATATTCGTATTGTTGTCTTTTGTACTGTATCTGATCGGATCCATTGCATAGTTTTTGAAGACAGTCAACAAATTCCAATCAACAACTTCTTGGCCATCGTATAGCTGTACAGTGAAACGTATGTTTTGCGGCAAATAAAATAGTCGGTAGTTATCGCCCGATTGACTGGTCTGAATCTTTACGGGTGGATAAGCCGCTGGCGATACTCTGTATGTTTTCATTAGTTCGCTGTTTACCGGATTCATCGGATCCGGTGGTAGTTCAGCAAATCGGCTGAAATTGAATTCTTTTGGATGAATAGTGTGATCCTCTTGATTGAAATACGGTCCCATCAGTTCAATGTAGGCTTCACTGATTTCTGGTGTTTGCGCAACAATATCGATATGGATGTCCCGTTGGTATGTAACGGGACGTTGTGTTGGTTGACCTGTATTTCGATCTACGACTGTAATGATATCTGTATTGCTATTCAATATAATCTTGTTTAGCCACACTTCACCGGGCGGTAATTCATAGGCATGAGGACCAGTAAATCGGGTCCGTTCGGGCATCTCATGTCTGACAATTGCCCGATGCAACTGTTCGTATTTGTGTCGGTATTCAATCTCTCTGATACCGTCCGCCCAGTCTTCGACGCCAACAATATACCCGCCTTCGGGTATTTCCAAATAGCATCGGCGTTCAAATGCAACCAAATTATTTTTTTTGCGATTTTTGATATCCACTTCTTTGCCCATATAATCGATGGTCAAATTCCAAGCACTGGTATTATAGTCGGAATCATTGGCGCCTAAAAACAGTACCGGATTTTCGAACTCCTTTACCCGTTCAGCCATTTCAGTGGTCATATATCTGTTGCAAAACTCTGACCAATTCATTAGTACATCCAATAGAGTATCTGGTTTTGTATTGTAGGGCACAGTCATCCACAGTTGATCCTCGACAATGACCACTGATCCCTGTTCAAACAACGATCGATTGTGATGTTTATTGTTTAAATCTTTGTGATAGCTGTCGATTACTATTAGTTTAGCGCCGGCACACAAATACACTGCAAATACTGTGTTTTTGGTCAACGCTTGATTAGGACCGCCGACAGCACCGACTGCTGCTAACTGTGCGCTGTTGTTGTTGTTGTTGTCATCGTCGTAGTCATCTCTAATATCATCAAACAACTGTTGAGTCAGATCATAGGCACCGCCATAGTTATGCCAATTGGATTCACCAGTAAATCTAGTATACAATCGATTATCATTTCGATTGTCTTTAGAGTTGTTCCAATAGAATGTATTCATAGGCTTTTCAGAGGAGTTCGGCTCTCTTAGATGACCACTACGGGGATTACGGATCAGAAAGATAAGCGATTCGCCTTTTCGACCGAATCGTCTGAATGCCAGACCCATTGTAAACACTTGTCTGGTCATTATTATTGATTTACCGCCCGATCGTTTTTTTTCCGTCCACTCACCGGTATTCGGATCTCTATCGTACCATTCGTTACGTATGGTCGGAAAGATGGCACACACGCTATTTGTTTGCATTACTTCATAATCGTATAGCCGTTGTTGTTGTTGGCCAGTAGTGGTGGTCGGTGGCAACAATATGAAACTAATATAGATAGTTGATATGTGAGCTTCTTTACTGAGATAGACGTGTTGGCCCAGTTGTGGGCGAGCCGTTTGATGAAAGTATAGCCAATTATTATAGTCTGTTTCTATTTGTGTCGACTGTTGTTGTTGTTGTTGTGTCGGGTTGTTGGCCACACCGGGTATACGTACACCAATTACAAGCATCGATGTTATTGTCTGATAGAACATACATTCCCGGGCATAACCTGTCTGTTTTGAATACAATCTTAACCTCTGACCTTGGTCGTCATAGTAATATTTATGTAGACGGGACGGATAGTTTGTATTTAGTGGCCAATACATGAGGTACTGATGAAAATCGTTGGTCAGATTACTTTTCATTGAAGCGGTCAACTTGAATGTGAAAATACTTTCACCTTTCTGTCCACGTTTTAGCATACGTTTGACATACAGTCCGAATACCCGATGATAGGCCGATTGGGTCCAGAAATCGAAATTTCCCGCATCGTTCACAAAGTAAGCCTCGCGTATCCACAGATCCGTTTCGTTTGTTTTATTAAAGTAATTGTATCGCCAATCGTCTGCCATATTGTTTGTGTGGTTGGAGAGGGGGATCGGGTTAGGTATTGGTGTCGGTGGTGTCGGTGGTGTCGGTGGTGTCGGTGGTGTCGGTGGTGTCGGTGGTGTCGGTGGTGTCGGTGGTGTCGGTGGTATCGGTGGTATCGGTGGTGGTATTAAATCTAGTGTTTAGGTATTGATCTGTTGATTACTAAACTAGGTGTGTGTGTGTCAGGTGAGGTCATTGAGTGTATGATTTGTGTTATTGTGTTTATGACACAGTGATAGCGGAAAGGTATGCAATGGTAATGTGGTTGTCTTGTTTTGTGGTGACTATTAGGTGGTTGTATCCAACAAAAAAAAATGATATTTCAATTTGACGGTTGGTTTTTCCTGATTTAGTGAATTACTTTTTAAAACGGTTTAATAACAATTTATTTTCATCAATTTTTTTATTATCAAACAATTACTTTTAGCTCGATATTAAAGTCAAAAAAAAATATTATTAAATAACTACTAGTTTCCCCGCGGAACATATATACTGGTGTAATTCTTTTATTAATTATAATTTATAAATTATCAAACTAATTTGAATTTATTTTATACAACAAACTACTTAACCTAATGTAACTAAACTACAGAACCAATACACATTAATTCGTCTAAACTTTTGAGAAATTTTAGTTTTTATATATATTTAAATAATTTTAATAAAAATTTAAAATTTAATCATTTTTGCGAAAAAAAATTGCATTTGAGAAAATTTTACAAAAATGTAGCACAAGTAGCTAACCTCCCAGTGCCCTAAGACTCACACAATATAGCAAAGTGTAATTGCACAACACCTGCCTACCTGTCCCTAAAACCTACCAGTGCTCAATAAACATTTAAAATTTCCATTGCAATAACATTGCTTTAAATAAAAATTGAAAATTTTGCATTTGAGAAAAATTTACAATAATTTAGCACAGGTATTTAACCTACCGTTGCCCTATGACTCATATAGCAAAGTATAATAACACAACACCTGCCTACATGTCTCTAAAACCTACCAGTGCTCAATAATCATTTAAAATTTCCCATAGAAATAACTATTATTTTTATAATTATTATTACAATATATTACATTATATTATTTTGTCTTTGAATTTGATTTACTAATTTCAATATTTACTAAAAAAAAATTTTTTTTATTAACTAAATACTTAATATCTATAACTAATTTTGGACCAATAGTTAGGGGTGGGGTGTGGTTGGTTTGTTTGTATAATCCCTTATAAATTTTTTTTTATTAGTATTGATTGTCATTTAATATTAATTGGATTTTAATAGCTAACTAACTCACTCACACTATTACTACTACTAAAGTAAAAAATAATAATCAATACAGTGATAGTGGAAAGGTATGCAATGGGAAATGCATCTGGTTTTGACTATTAAGTGGTAACCAATCATATAAATGATATATCAATTTGACTATTGGTTTCACTTACAGTAGATTACTTTAAACGGTTATTCAACAATTAAATTTAAATATTTTTATTTTTAATTTTCATATATATTTTCAAAAAAAAAACAAACAATAGAAATGATTGAATTTTTTTAGTTGTCTTTTTTTAATAAATTTTATAAATCAATATCAAAAATTGAATTTTATATACTGTATATTAATAGAGTTATTAAAACTATTAAAAAATACAACATTGCGACAAATTTATAGAAATAATTTATTAACAAAATAAAATAAATTGAAGATAAAAATAATTTTTTTTTTAATAAATATTAGTAATTAATTAATTATTACTTTATAGACTATAACTATTGTTTATTACTACAATAATTACTAATTATTATTACTATATAGTACTAAATATTAAGTATTAATAAGTGAATACATTTTATAATTATTTTTTTTATTGAAATACTTTTCTCGTTTTTTTTAATACAATATATAATTGTATAAAACTATTGTGTCTTTGAATTTGATTTACAAATTACAAAAATTTATTAAATCTTTTTGTTTTTTTTAATAATACTATACAACTATTTTTGTTTGTTTGACTAATACACACAAACACATCATAACTGCCAACAAATGGTTGAAATTGAAATATCATTTACGTTTTGGATGGACTTCAGCTTTGATTACCACTACCAGTGTTGTGAACCACCGCCACTTCGATTTTGTCTGTATTGGCCTCTTCCTCGGTTAGATCTATCAGTGTTTTGGCCACTTTGTTGTGAACCATCGTCTCCTGGCGATTGGTATGTGTTTGAACCACCGCCACCACGAGATCGACTGGATTGTCCTCCTTCTCGGTAACCTCTACCAGTGTTTTGGCCACTTTGTTGTGAACCGCCGCCACCTCGAGATTGACTGGATTGTCCTCCTCCTCGGTAACCTCTACCAGTGTTTTGGCCACTTTGTTGTGAACCGCCGCCACCTCGAGATCGACTGGATTGTCCTCCTCCTCGGTAACCTCTACCACTGTTTTGACCACTTTGTTGTGAACCACCGCCATCTTGATATTGGTATGTATTTGAACCACCGCCACCTCGAGATCGACTGGATTGTCCTCCTCCTCGATAACCAGTACCAGTGTTTTGGCCACTTTGTTGTGAACCACCGCCACCTCGAGATTGGTTTGCATTGGAACCACCGCCACCTCGAGATCGACTGGATTGTCCTCCTCCTCGATAACCACTACCAATGTTTCGGCCACTTTGTTGTGAACCACCGCCACCTTGATATTGGTATGTATTTGAACCACCGCCACCTCGAGATCGACTGGACTGTCCTCTTCCTCGGTAACCTCTACCACTGTTTTGACCACTTTGTTGTGAACCACTGCCACCACGAGATCGACTGGATTGTCCTCCTCCTCGGTAACCTCTACCACTGTTTTGACCACTTTGTTGTGAACCACCGCCACCTTGATATTGGTATGTGTTTGAACCACCGCCACCTCGATATTGTCTGGATTGACCTCTTCTTCGGTTACGTCTACCAGTGTTTTGGCCACTTTGTTGTTGCACAGCACTGCCACCTTTAGATCGTAAGGATTGACCACTTTGTGGTGAACCACCGACTCCTTGAAGTTGTGTTGTATTGTAATCATTGCTATCTTGAGAGTGTATGGAGTCGTCACTTTGGCTAACACTACTACCATCACTACCATCACTACCATCACTACCACCACTACCACCACTACTACCACTGCGTTTCCATGGATTTGGACCAAATGGAAATACGCCGTTTGGATTGTTGTTCACCAAATCATTCAACTGATTGTCTGTTATCTCATCGAAACCAATGACCGGTTGTTCAGATTTTACTTCAATAAAAGTAAAGTTGTCCACAATTTTATTACCGGTTCGTTTGTCAAACAATTCATAGTAATAGCTTTGAATGTAACCAATAGGTGTCGGTCCGGCTTCTGGTTGACTATTACTTAGATTTTTTACCAATTCATAGAAGTGTCCGTCAATTCCCAGCCGAATGTATTCGTCATTCTCTATGAGATGTTTGCGTATAAACGGATTGTCCAAACAGTTCCACTCGTATTCAGGAAATGTATATTTATTTTGGCTTAGCTTTAGTATAATAGGACTGTCAGGATTGGCGACGTTATTGGGATATATATTAGTATTGTTGTCTTCAGTACTGTATCTGATCGGATCCATTGCATAGTTTTTGAAGACAGTCAACAAATTCCAGTCAACAACTTGTTCAACGCCATCGTATAGCTGTACAATGAAACGTATGTTTTGCGGCAAATAAAATAGTCGGTAGTTATCGCCCGATTGACTGGTCTGAATCTTTACGGGTGGATAAGCCGCTGGCGATACTCTGTATGTTTTCATTAGTTCGCTGTTTACCGGATTCAACGGATCCGGTGGTAGTTCAGCAAATCGGCTGAAATTGAATTCTTTCGGATGAATAGTGTGATCCTCTTGATTGAAATGCGGTCCCATCAGTTCAATGTAGGCCTCACTGATTTCTGGTGTTTGCGCAACAATATCGATATGGATGTCCCGTTCGTATGTATCGGGACGTTGTGTAGGTTGACCTGTATTTCGATCTACGACTGTAATGATATCCGTATTGGTATTCAATATAATCTTGTTTAGCCACTCATCTCCGGGCGGTAATTCATAGGAATGAGGACCAGTGAATCGGGTCCGTTCGGGCCTCTCATGTCTGACAATTGCCCGATGCAACTGTTCGTATTTGTGTCGGTATTCAATCTCTCTGATACCGTCCGTCCAGTCTTCGACGCCAACAATATACCCGCCTTCGGGTATTTCCAAATAGCATCGGCGTTCAAATGCAACCAAATTTTTTTGCCTTTTTCGGCGACTTTTGATATTAATTTCTTTGCCCATATAATCGATGGTCAAATTCCAAGCACTGGTATTATAGTCGGACTCATTGGCGCCCAAAAACAGTACCGGATTTTCAAACTCTTTTACCCGTTCAGACATTTCACGGGTCAGATATTTGTTGCAAAACTCTGGCCAATTTATTAATACTTGCAATAGGGTATCTGGTTTTGTATTGTAGGGCACAGTCATCCATAGTTGATCCTCGACAATGACAACTGATCCCTGTTCAAACAACGATCGATTGTGATGTTTATTGTTTAAATTAGCCTGATAGTTGTCGATTACTACTAGTTTAGCGCCGGCACACACATACACTGCAAATACTGTGTTTTTGGCCAACGCTTGATTAGCACCACCAACTGCACCACCGACAGCACCGCCAACTGCTTGTGCGCTGTCGTACTGATCTCTAATATCATCAAACAACTGTTGAGTCAGCTCATAGGCACCGCCATAGTTATGCCAACTGGATTCGCCTGTAAATCGTGTATACAATCGATTATCATTTCGATTGTCTTTAGAGTTGTTCCAATAGAATGTATTCATAGGCTTTTCATAGGAGTTCGGCGCTTTTAGACGGCCAGTACGGGGATTACGGCTAAGATAGATAAGCGATTCGCCGTTTCTACCGAATCGTCTATACGCCAGACCCATTGTAAACACTTGTCGGACGATTATTATTGAATTGTCCGGATGTCTAATCTCTGTCCACTTATCGGTATTCGGATCTTTTTCGTGCCATTCGTTACGTATGGTCGGAAAGATGGCACAAACGGTATTTGTTTGCATTACTTCATAATTGTATAGCCGTTGTTGTTGTTGGCCAGTAGTGGTGGTCGGTGGCAACAATATGAAGCTAATATAGATAGTTGATATGTGAGCTTCTTTAGTGAGATAGACGTGTTGGCCCAGTTGTTCGCGAGCCGTTAGATGAAAGTATAGCCAATCATAATAGTCTGTATCTAACGGTGACGACTGCTGTGTCGTCGACTGTTGTTGTTGTTGTGTCTGGTTGTCCTCACCGGGTATATGTTTACCAATTACAAGCATCGATGTTATTGTCTGATAGAACATACATTCCCGGGCATAACCTGTCTGTTGTGAATAAAATGTTTGGAGTTGACCTTGGTCGTCATAGTAATATTTGTGTAGACGGGACGGATAGTTTGTATTTAGTGGCCAATACATGAGGTACTGATGAAAATCGTTGGTCAGATTGCTTTTCACTGAACCGGTCAACTTGTATCTGAAGGTACTTACACCGGTCTTTCCCTGTTTTTGCATACGTTTGACATACAGTCCGAATACCCGATGATAGGCCGATTGGGTCCAGAAATCGAAATTTCCCGAATCGTTCACAAAGTAAGCCTCGCGTATCCATAGATCCGTTTCGTTTGTTTTATTAAAGTAATTGTATCGCCAATCGTCTGCCATATTGTTTGTGTGTATCGGTGGTGGGGGGAGGGGATCCGTTTAGGTATTGGTTTTGGTGGTGTCGGTGGTGTCGGTGGTGTCGGTGGTGTCGGTGGTGTCGGTGGTGTCGGTGGTGTCGGTGGTGTCGGTGGTGTCGGTGGTGTCGGTGGTGTCGGTGGTGTCGGTGGTGTCGGTGGTGTCGGTGGTGTCGGTGGTGTCGGTGGTGTCGGTGGTGTCGGTGGTGTCGGTGGTGTCGGTGGTGTCGGTGGTGTCGGTGGTGTCGGTGGTGTCGGTGGTGTCTGTGATGTCGGTGGTGTCGGTGGTGTCGGTGGTGTCGGTAATGTCGGTGGTGTCGGTGATGTCGGTGGTGTTGGTGGTGTCGGTGCTGTCGGTGCTGTCGGTGTTGGTATTCAATCTGGTTTTTAGGTATTGATCTGTTAATTACTAAACTAGGTGTGTGTGTGTCAGGTGAGGTGATTGAGTATATGATTTATGTGTGTGTTTATGACACAGTGATAGCGGAAAGGTATGCAATGGTAATGTGGTTGTCTTGTTTTGTGGTGACTATTAGGTGGTGGTATCCAACAACAAAAAAAATGATATTTCAATTTGACGGTTGGTTTTTCCTGATTTAGTCAATTACTTTAATAAACGGTTTGATAACAATTTATTTTATCAATTTTTTTTATTATCAAAAAATTACTTTTAGCTCGATATTAAAGTCAAAAAAAATTATTATTAAATAACTATTAAATAAAAATATATTGTTGACTAAACAGTAATTTAAAAAAAAAATTATTTATTGTTACACGTAAAAAACAATTTGCAAAAAATAATAAAAATTATAAGTTTGTATAATAAATTTTTTAAGTATAAATTTTTAAAATTAAAGCCATTAAAATTTAATATAAATTATTTAACAAATGTTAAAAATATTTAATCAATGTAAAAATGATCAAAAATTATAAGCATATTATTATTAGTGATTTAAATAATAACTTTTATTTCTCTATTAAGTCTATTTAGTTTTTTTTAATTGAATTATTGAATAATTATTTTTTTTTTATAATTATTATTACAATATATTACATTATATTATTGTGTCTTTGAATTTGATTTACTAATTTCAATATTTACTAAAAAAAAAAAAATTTATTAACTAAATACTTAATATCTATATCTAATTTTGGACCAATAGTTAGGGGTGGGGTGGGGTGGGGTGGGGTGGGGTGTGGTTGGTTTGTTAGGAAAAAGGCAAGGGATATAATTCCCTAATAAATTTTTTTTTTTATTAGTATTGATTGTCATTTAATATTAATTGGATTTTAATAGCTAACTAACTCACTCACACTATTACTACTACTAAAGTAAAAAATAATAATCAATACAGTGATAGTGGAAAGGTATGCAATGGGAAATGCATCTGGTTTTGACTATTAAGTGGTAACCAATCATATAAATGATATATCAATTTGACTATTGGTTTCACTTACAGTAGATTACTTTAAACGGTTATTCAACAATTAAATTTAAATATTTTTATTTTTATTTTCATATATATTTTCAAAAAAAAAACAAACAATAGAAATGATTGAATTTTTTTAGTTGTCTTTTTTTAATAAATTTTATAAATCAATATCAAAAATTGAATTTTATATACTGTATATTAATAGAGTTATTAAAACTATTAAAAAATACAACATTGCGACAAATTTATAGAAATAATTTATTAACAAAATAAAATAAATTGAAGATAAAAATAATTTTTTTTTTAATAAATATTAGTAATTAATTAATTATTACTTTATAGACTATAACTATTGTTTATTACTACAATAATTACTAATTATTATTACTATATAGTACTAAATATTAAGTATTAATAAGTGAATACATTTTATAATTATTTTTTTTATTGAAATACTTTTCTCGTTTTTTTTAATACAATATATAATTGTATAAAACTATTGTGTCTTTGAATTTGATTTACAAATTACAAAAATTTATTAAATCTTTTTGTTTTTTTTAATAATACTATACAACTATTTTTGTTTGTTTGACTAATACACACAAACACATCATAACTGCCAACAAATGGTTGAAATTGAAATATCATTTACGTTTTGGATGGACTTCAGCTTTGATTACCACTACCAGTGTTGTGAACCACCGCCACTTCGATTTTGTCTGTATTGGCCTCTTCCTCGGTTAGATCTATCAGTGTTTTGGCCACTTTGTTGTGAACCATCGTCTCCTGGCGATTGGTATGTATTTGAACCACCGCCACCACGAGATCGACTGGATTGTCCTCCTTCTCGGTAACCTCTACCAGTGTTTTGGCCACTTTGTTGTGAACCGCCGCCTCGAGATTGACTGGATTGTCCTCCTCCTCGGTAACCTCTACCAGTGTTTTGGCCACTTTGTTGTGAACCGCCGCCACCTCGAGATCGACTGGATTGTCCTCCTCCTCGGTAACCTCTACCAGTGTTTTGGCCACTTTGTTGTGAACCGCCGCCACCTCGAGATCGACTGGATTGTCCTCCTCCTCGGTAACCTCTACCACTGTTTTGACCACTTTGTTGTGAACCACCGCCATCTTGATATTGGTATGTATTTGAACCACCGCCACCTCGAGATCGACTGGATTGTCCTCCTCCTCGATAACCAGTACCAGTGTTTTGGCCACTTTGTTGTGAACCACCGCCACCTCGAGATTGGTTTGCATTGGAACCACCGCCACCTCGAGATCGACTGGATTGTCCTCCTCCTCGATAACCACTACCAATGTTTCGGCCACTTTGTTGTGAACCACCGCCACCTTGATATTGGTATGTATTTAAACCACCGCCACCTCGAGATCGACTGGACTGTCCTCTTCCTCGATAACCACTACCAATGTTTCGGCCACTTTGTTGTGAACCGCCGCCACCTCGAGATCGACTGGACTGTCCTCTTCCTCGATAACCACTACCAATGTTTCGGCCACTTTGTTGTGAAGCACCGCCACCTTGATATTGGTATGTATTTGAACCACCGCCACCTCGAGATCGACTGGATTGTCCTCCTCCTCGGTAACCACTACCACTGTTTTGACCACTTTGTTGTGAACCACTGCCACCTCGAGATTGACTGGATTGTCCTCCTCCTCGGTAACCACTACCACTGTTTTGACCACTTTGTTGTGAACCACCGCCACCTCGATATTGTCTGGATTGACCTCTTCTTCGGTTACGTCTACCAGTGTTTTGGCCACTTGTTGTTGCCAAGCACTGCCACCTTTAGATCGTAAGGATTGACCACTTTGTGGTGAACCACCGACTCCTTGAAGTTGTGTTGTATTGTAATCATTGCTATCTTGAGAGTGTATGGAGTCGTCACTTTGGCTAACACTACTACCATCACTACCATCACTACCAYCACTACCACCACTACCACCACTACTACCACTGCGTTTCCATGGATTTGGACCAAATGGAAATACGCCGTTTGGATTGTTGTTCACCAAATCATTCAACTGATTGTCTGTTATCTCATCGAAATCAATGACCGGTTGTTCAGATTTTACTTCAATAAAAGTAAAGTTGTCCACAATTTTATTACCGGTTCGTTTGTCAAACAATTCATAGTAATAGCTTTGAATGTAACCAATAGGTGTCGGTCCGGCTTCTGGTTGACTATTACTTAGATTTTTTACCAATTCATAGAAGTGTCCGTCAATTCCCAGCCGAATGTATTCGTCATTCTCTATGAGATGTTTGCGTATAAACGGATTGTCCAAACAGTTCCACTCGTATTCAGGAAATGTATATTTAGTTTGGCTTAGCTTTAGTATAATAGGACTGTCAGGATTGGCGACGTTATTGGGATATATATTAGTATTGTTGTCTTCAGTACTGTATCTGATCGGATCCATTGCATAGTTTTTGAAGACAGTCAACAAATTCCAGTCAACAACTTGTTCAACGCCATCGTATAGCTGTACAATAAAACGTATGTTTTGCGGCAAATAAAATAGTCGGTAGTTATCGACTGATTGACTGGTCTGAATCTTTACGGGTGGATAAGCCGCTGGCGATACTCTGTATGTTTTCATTAGTTCGCTGTTTACCGGATTCAACGGATCCGGTGGTAGTTCAGCAAATCGGCTGAAATTGAATTCTTTCGGATGAATAGTGTGATCCTCTTGATTGAAATGCGGTCCCATCAGTTCAATGTAGGCCTCACTGATTTCTGGTGTTTGCGCAACAATATCGATATGGATGTCCCGTTCGTATGTATCGGGACGTTGTGTAGGTTGACCTGTATTTCGATCTACGACTGTAATGATATCCGTATTGGTATTCAATATAATCTTGTTTAGCCACTCATCTCCGGGCGGTAATTCATAGGAATGAGGACCAGTGAATCGGGTCCGTTCGGGCCTCTCATGTCTGACAATTGCCCGATGCAACTGTTCGTATTTGTGTCGGTATTCAATCTCTCTGATACCGTCCGTCCAGTCTTCGACGCCAACAATATACCCGCCTTCGGGTATTTCCAAATAGCATCGGCGTTCAAATGCAACCAAATTTTTTTGCCTTTTTCGGCGACTTTTGATATTAATTTCTTTGCCCATATAATCGATGGTCAAATTCCAAGCACTGGTATTATAGTCGGACTCATTGGCGCCCAAAAACAGTACCGGATTTTCAAACTCTTTTACCCGTTCAGACATTTCACGGGTCAGATATTTGTTGCAAAACTCTGGCCAATTTATTAATACTTGCAATAGGGTATCTGGTTTTGTATTGTAGGGCACAGTCATCCATAGTTGATCCTCGACAATGACAACTGATCCCTGTTCAAACAACGATCGATTGTGATGTTTATTGTTTAAATTAGCCTGATAGTTGTCGATTACTACTAGTTTAGCGCCGGCACACACATACACTGCAAATACTGTGTTTTTGGCCAACGCTTGATTAGCACCACCAACTGCACCACCGACAGCACCGCCAACTGCTTGTGCGCTGTCGTACTGATCTCTAATATCATCAAACAACTGTTGAGTCAGCTCATAGGCACCGCCATAGTTATGCCAACTGGATTCGCCTGTAAATCGTGT